TCAAGAATGACTTATAACCCTGATTTGCTTCACTGACTGATTTTATAGGCTGAAACATTCTTTTAGTTTTCTCAAGCACAAAATGCAAGTATCATAATGCACTTGAATTTGGTCTTCATAAACCTTAATATCATCTCTTACAGGGTCCACCTGGTCCTCCAGGCCCAAGAGGCCCTCAAGGTCCCAACGGAGCTGATGTAAGACTGTGAAATATGTTAATTATTTTGAAGTTATGTAGATTTTATTCAATGGCAGGTGGTGTCTAAGATACAGTGGAGATAATTACACCACTGTTAAACGTTTAAGTGAACAAGAGCTCAAGGATCATTTACTCAGTCCATTTTATTTTACAGGAAAAGAAGCAGGCTTTGTAGGGGGCTAGTCCCCACAAATACAATATTGGTACAAAGTTTACATTCAGTATATGTTTATTGCTGAGTAGGAATTATTAGCTATAAGAAACGCATTGCTCAGTTCAACATATTGTCTTGCATATAATAGCTGTTCAATGTTACTGAATTGTTTCAAATTTAACCTTTATCTTTTACAATTGCTTGAGAAGATGGTTTAGAATTGGCTTTGATTGTACTAGCCTAGGTCTGTACTCCAAACATCCCAAACTTATGCATGTTATCTAAAAGCTTTGCATTTTGTATTTTCCTTCTATGTCAGAGTAATATGTGTATGAAATACGTGCACCTCTTACCATATAAAAATGTTTCCTCTGAATATAAAGGTGATCTCCCCTAAACTTAATTATTGACTCACTGTTCCAATATTACAGGATTTGAAATGTAGTGCCATATTTATCTTATCATTAACAAATTTATAGGTTTTCATGTTCTCTTTCCATTTGATGTTCCCTTTTCACAATGAACAAGTCATTTATTCTTGTCTTTATGCTATCCTATCATTCCTGCTTTTAATTCTGGCAGGCCAGAACTGGGTAAAATAGACTAGAAACAGATATACTGAAAATGCTTTGGGTTTTAATTCTCCCTAAGTAATTTAAAGGCTAAGAGATGGTTTATACTGCTTTTTCCATGGATTACGTAGTATTTAACCAGAGTCGTATTTTGATCCACTAAAAAATATCGACAAAATCGTTCTCTAAATCTGATCTATTCAGTAGGCAGAGAGATTGAACTTATGTTCCAAGTGTCAACTGACATGACTAGAGTTAGAAAGTCTCCTGCCTTATATCCAAAATTCTGGTGAATTTGAAAATCAACTTCTTACAATTAAATTATTTGCTATCCAGTAAATTTGACAACTC